TGTAGCTCCCATTCCTCCTTGTCAGGTGAAATCTCAATGTGGCTTTGATTTACATTTCCCTGACTGCCGAAGATGTTGATCATTTTTTCATATATTTGTTGGCTAATTGCATTTCTTCTTTTGAGAAGTGTCTGTTTAGTTCTTTTGCCCGTTTATTAATTGGGTTATTTGATGTCATAGTGTCAGGTATTTTGAGTTCTTTATATATTCTGGATATAAATGTCCTATGAGAGGAGCAGGTGGCAAAGATCTTCTTCCATTCTGTGGGCTTTCTTTTTATGCTCTTATTCGTTTCTTTTGCTGTGCAGAAGCTTTTTAATTTGATGCCATCCACTTACTGGTTTTTGGTTTTATTTCTTGTACTTTAGAGGTCCTGTTAAGGAAGTCGGTTCCTGTGCCAGCATGTTGGACTGTTGAGCCTACATTTTCATCTAGCAGTTGCAGAATTTGTGTTCTAGTTCCTGGGTATTTAATCCACTTTGAGTTGACTTTCGTGCAGGGTGAGAGAGAGGAGTCAAGTTTCATTTTTCTACATAGGGATTTTCATTTTTCCTAACACCATTTGTCTAAAAGGCCATCTTTTCTTCCAAGAAATGTTTTTGGTACCTTTATCTAGTATCAGATAGTTGTATTTATGTGGGTTTATCTCTGTGTCTTCTATTCCCTTGGTCTTGTTTTTTTTTTCTTTTTAAAATTGTATTTATTTATTCTAATTTGTTATACATGACAGCAGAATGCATTTTGATTCATAGTACACATATAGAGCACGGATTTTCCTGTCTCTGGTTGTACACAAAGTAGAGTCACACCATTTATGTCTTCATACATGTACTCAGGGTAATGATGTCCATCTCAACCCACCATCTTTCCTAAAAATCTCTTTTGAAGTAACTTGAATAATTTTTAGTTACTGACTTTTTTACCATTTTGTTTAGTGAAAGTAATTTCATTATGAAATTTAAGTGTGGTAAACATTGACTTTTTATCTTTATCTAGCACATTCAGAACTTTGATGTTTCTAATCTTACTTGTACTACAATCATACAAAACATTATTCTGATGTCTAATTTACCTCTTTAAATTTAGTTAACTTAAGGTTTTTTAAAATTTCCTAATAGTTTGTCTAATTTTACTAGAGTGATCCAAGATCATTTGTTTCACATGCAAGTTCCATTATTCAGGTACTAAACAAAATGTGTGTTGTATGTTTACTGCTTTTCATGCATAACGCAGTGCATAAACCTGTACAAAATAAGCCTGGCTATGGAAATGCTTATTTGTTAGGAGGGTGCTTGTCTGGATCGATGAAGAGAACAGTTGGCTGAGGATGCTCAGGGTTCCCTTGGTCTTCATGTCCGTTCTGGTGCTGGTACCGTGCTCTTTTGTTACTCTAGCTCTGTAGCATATTTTGAGGTCTCGTATTGTGATGCATTCAGTTTGCTCAGAATTGCTTTAGCTCTTCTGGGTCTCTTGTTTTTCCAACTGCCTTTTCTAGTTCTGTGAAGAATGTTATTGGTATTTTGGTGGTAATTGCATTGAATCTGTAGAATGCTTTTGATAGTAGGGTCATTTTAATAATATTTTGCCTATCCAAGAACATGGAAGGTCTTTCCATCTTCTGAGGTCTTATTCAGTTTCTTTCTTCTGTGTTCAATAGTTTTTATTGTAGAGTTCTTTGACATTCTTTGTGCGATTTATTTCCATTTTTTTGAGGTTATTATAATTGGGATATTTTTCCTAATTTCTTTTTCAGCAGGTTTGTTATTGGAGTATAGGGAAGTGATTGATTTATGTATGTTAAATTGATTTATGTATGTATTTTTATATCTGCTCCTTTACCTTTTTTATTTTTTTTTGGTTGGGGTGTACTAGGGATTGAACTCGGGGCACTCAACCACTGAGTCACATCCCCAGCCCTATTTTGTATTTTATTTAGGAAAAAGGTCTCACTGAGTTGGTTAGTGCCTCCCTTTTCCTGAGGCTAACTTTGAACTTGCGATCCTTGTTCCTCAGCCTCTTGAGCGCTGGGATTTCAGGCGGATGCCACTGCCCCCGGCTACTTTATCAAATTTGGTTTTCAACTCTAGAAGTCTTCTAGCGGAATTTTTGGGGTCTTCTAAATATAGGCTCATGTCATTGGCAAACAGATAATTTGAGCTCTTCTTTTCCTGTTGTAGCCCTTTAATTCCCTTCTTCTGCTTGATTGACCTGGCTGGGTTTTGAGGACTGTGTTGAGTAGGAGTGGTGAGAGTGGGCATCCTTCTCGTTTCTGTTTAAGAGGATATGTTTGCAGTTTTTCTTCATTCAGTATGCTGTTGGCTTGGGGTTTGTCATATACATCCTTTACAATGTTGAAGTACTTACTTTTATCCCTAGTGCCTGTTGTTTAACATGAATGGGTGCTGCACTTTGCCAAATTCTTTTTCTGCATCTATTGAGATAATCATGTGATTCTCATCCTTAAGGTTATTTATATGGGGAATTATATTTATTGAACCAACCTTGCATCCCTGGGACAAAACCCACTTGATCATGATGCAATATCTGTGTGTGTGTGTTTGGTAGCAGGGATTGAATGCAAGGGCACTTAACCACTGAGCCACATACTCAGCCCTATTTGTTTGTTTGTTTTGAGACAGAGTCTCACTAGGTTGCTTATAGCCTCATTAAGTTGCTGAGGCTGGCATCAAACCTGTGATAGTTCGTCTCAGTCCTGAGTTGCTGGAATTACAGGCATGCACCACCACGCCCAGCTTTTAGTGTGTGTGTTTTTTTAATATTTATTTTTTAGTTATAGGTGGATACAATATCTTTACTATATATTTATGTGGTGCTGAGAATCCAAACCAGTGCCTCACGCACGTAGGCGAGTGCTCTACCTCTGAGCCACCACCCCAGCCCCTTAATGTGTTTTTGTATTCAGTTTGCCAATATTTTACTAAGATTTTTTGCATCTGTGTTCATCAAGAATATTGATCTGAAGTGTTCTTTCCTTGATGTGTCTTTGTTTGACAGTGTACCCTGCTTTTTTATTTCATGGAATAATTTGAAGAGGATTAGTCAATTCTTCTTTTTTTAAAATATACTTTTTAGTTGTAGGTAGACGCAATACCTTTAATTAATTATTTTTAATGTGGTGCTGAGGATCGAACCCAGCGCCTCACACCTGCTAGGCCAGCACTCTACCCCGGAGCTGCAGGCCCAGCCCATCAATTACCTCTTTTTTAAAGACCTAGTAGAACTTGGCTAAGAATCCATCCAGTCTTGGACTTTTTTTTGGAGGGCTTTTGCTATCTCCTTCAATTTTTTTTCTTATTATTGATATGTTTAGGTTTTCTATATCCTCATGGTTCAATTTGTGTAAGGAAGCTCTGTCTCTCTAGGAAATTGTCAATATCTTCCAGATCTTATAGCTTATTGGAGTATAAATTTTTAAAATAGTTTCTTATGATCTTGTGGATTCAGTAGTGTCTGTGGTGTATTTTCTTTTTCATCTCTAATTTTATTCTCTCTCCTTATTTTGGTTAATTTGACTAGCGGTTTATAAGTCTTGTTTGTTCTTTCAAGAAACTGTTTCATTGATCCTGTGTGTGTGTGTGTGTGTGTGTGTGTGTGTGTGTGTGTGTGTGTTTAAATTCTGTATTTCATTGATTTTGGTACTGGTTTTAATTATTTTCTATTGATTTTTGTTTAATTTTTTCTTTTTCTAAGGTCTTGAGATATAGTATTAGATTATTTGGTATCTTTCTAGTTTCTAATGTATGAACTCAGTGCTGTAAATTTTCCTCTTAGAATTGCTTTTATACAGTCCCAGAGATTTATATCATTATTTCCATTAGTTTATATGATTTTTTAAAAAAAATTTCTCCCTTAATTTCTTCTGCCATCCATTCATCATTCAAAAGTGTATTATTATTTAGTGTCCAGGCGTTAGAGTGGCTTCTGTTTTTTAACTTATTGATTTCTAACCTTATTATGAAAAAAATAAAAAAAATTAGAATTTTAAAAATAAAATAAAAATAAAAAGGAATAGGGATGTGACTCAGAGGTAGAGTGCCTCTTAGTCAAATCCAAAGTGCCTACTCTACCCATTTATTTGAAAAGGTGAATGTTTTACTTTTGTCTTTTCTTTTGGCTGTCAATTAAAAATATCAATGTAGTTTTTGTAACTCACTTCTCAAACTGAGAGTTTGTTATTGTATGATTTAATGTTTTTATTTTTACCTTCCCAGGTAGGTACTTATAAAAAGCTTAGACTAATTGATTGCTTAGTAGATACTTGATAGTCTCATTTTATTTATAGGTACTATATTACTTCAACTTATGTAACTAATATGAAGCTGCAAATGCATTAGAGAAGTTCTATAAAATAGGATTATTGTACAAAGCTTTCAAAATGCAGATATTACCTTTTATATTATGGAATATTCAATGTATATATATAATTTTCCTAAAATGGAAATGTACTTTTAGTACATTTAGTACTTGAGATATACTTTTGTCTTGATACTTAACATTAATTTTGCACCCTTTTAAATGTCATGTTGGGTTTTTAGGGGGAAAGGGTGAAAACAGGACGGTTGGGGCAGGGTCAGTGCATACTCTATACATGTATAGAAATATACTGAATACCAGTATGAATGTGCAGCTGCAATGTTATTAAGTCAATGGACAAATGAAATAAAATGGTAGAGATTCTTAGAGGGGAAAGGTGATTTCATTACAAGTCAGTATGGTGTGGCCAGATTTTCGATTTATGAACGCTAGCATGTCATTAGAACTGTTTTAGATCCTCAGTGGCAGGCCCACCATGAGGGTTGCGTTTTACATGTAGTCCATGCTGTGTTCAGACTCAAGTGAGTGTGTGCAGTTTGATTGCTCTGCATGAAAAAATGTTGTATGTAAATCCTGTAATAATAGGATTAGCATGGGTAAATTAACAGTAACAACAACAAAGCTCATACAAAAAAGGCAAACTGAATTTCCTTTATGCCCCACAGATGTATCTTGTGATTTTTCCAGAGGGAACAAGGTATAATCCAGGACAGACAAAGCTCCTTTCGGCTAGCCAGACATTTGCTGCTCAACAAGGTAAGTAAAAGGTTAACTGTGTTTGAAAAATAACTTTTTAAAGAGAAAGATCCTTTTAGTTTTTCTTCCTGGAGAATGTATGTTTTATGATTGAATGAGTAATGTATCATCTCTGAGGAAATGAGGTTTCTCCTAAATTCATTGGCATGTTATTTCATATGTATAAGATATTATGTTCAAGTACTTTGGATTTAGTTAAAAATCGAAGTACATGGGCATGTAAGGGTAATTTTTTCCTGCTGAGTGGGTTAAGGGTCATGGAAATAACTTCTGACTTGTAGGTTTACAGAGGAGAGGCAGAAGCCACACTCTGACTCTGATTAGCTATGTGAGTACATGTTGCCTAATGTTACCAAACACCAGTTTCTTATTTCTAAAATACATAGATATATTTGTGTAAGCCCCACATTTGTGTAGGAATCAAATTAGAATATGTGTGAAGTTTCCCATGGAGAGTGTTTCTGAAAGTTGGTCATAGTTCTTAGAAGCTGTTGTGTTCCCCAACAACAGGAATGTTCTTCTTAACTCGTTGTGTCCGTCATCCTGCGTATAGGATACCTATAAAAATGCATACCGTTGTGTAGGACACCTATAAAAGTGCTCAGTTAAGTTTTTGTTGGTGTCCTGTATATAGGATGATTGGATATCAAGGATTAAAGTCCATTTTAGAAAATTGGATAACTAATACACCAGTAAGCTACATAGTTTAACCAAATTGGGAATTCTGCAGACAACAGTAGTTCTGCTGTGTTCTCAGAAGTGTCTTTGAAGTTGAATCAGTGTGAGCTCTCCTGTGTGGCCAGTGAGGCATGACTGAGCATCTGCTGGTCATGTCACTCCAGGAACATGACAGTACCATAGAAGAGAGCTTTCTGCAGTGACGGTGACACACTCTGTCTGCTCTGTCCAGTGTACTTCCCCAGCCTGCATGTGGTTTCTGCATGTGGCCAGTGCATCAAAGGAAAGGAAGTCTTCATTTTATTTGATTTTACTTTAATTGACATTCTAAATTTTGTTTAATTTACATTTAAGTAGACACATGTTGCTAGTGGAAGATCTATGATAGCACAGGTTTGTGGGATGCAAAAAACTTTAGATTTTAACTAAATCCACAGCACTTGAATTTAATCTCTGGCAGATATAATATGCAAACAAATTAAGAGAAACCTCTTTTCCTAAGAATGGAACTTTCATTCATTCAGTATGTATGAATATGCATGTGTATGTGAAATCTCTTATAACGATGCAGTTTTAAAATGCTAGTGTATTTCACTCCTGGTTTAGACGCCCCGATCCCAAGCATTGGGTCAGGAACAGGAGAGTCCTGTGAAGGCTTGACTTTTACTGCCTTCTCTGGCTAGTCTGGACACCATGGGCTGTCTTTTTACTTGTTCTCTTGCAATACCATCGTCTCTGTTGCCTTTTTCACATTGAAAAAGTAAAATAAAAACCTCCTCCCTCTGCTCACGTTCTCCTCCTTCTGGCGCCCTCTTCTCCTTTCCTTAAAGCCCAGGCCTCTGAGTCCTTCTTCCCACCTTCTCACTTACCTCTCAGCCCCCAGGGATGGGATACGACATTCATGGTACTTTCTGATTCCCATTCCCTGCGCTCCTGTCGGCTGGCCTTTTTGTTCCTGCATGTGTTCATCTCCTTCTGTCCCACTCGTCTTCATTCTCTCCTGTTTCATACACTGTTCCCACTGTCTGAATTGGACCTCTCATTCTTTTCACTTTTTATTTTTCTAATTTCATAATTGTCTAAATTCATGACCTCAGCCATCATTTGTTTAATGCTGATGATTCACAAAAAGCTTTCTCCTTTTTATATCTCTCTGCCTCATTCTAGTCCTGTATGTACAGTTGCCCATTAGAGAGCTTCACTTGACGGGTCCAGAGCTGCGTTTCAGAGTCAGTATGCTGAAGGTGTGTTACCCCTCACACACACACTCACGTTTCCTACCCTCGTGACTCTGCCACTCAGTACAACACCAGACTCATCCTCGACGCTTCCCTTTCACCAAGCAAACATCTAGTAGGTCAGCAAAGTCTAGTTTCTCTCTATGCCTTTAAAATCTCTTTCAGATATCTGTTGTTAGGTGACAAACCATCCAAGAGCTTAGTAACTCCAAACAGTAACGCCTGTTTATTGCTCATAATCTGTGCCTTAGGCAAGGCTCAGCAAGTTCAGCTCATCTCTATCCACGGAGTCAGCTGTGGTCTCTTATTTCACTTCAGAAAATGGGTGGAAAGTCCAAGATGACTTTGCCAGCCTGTCTTATGTCATACTTGGTACGTCTGTGTTGGCCGGGAGTAACTGGGCCTCTTTCTTCAGTTTTCAGCTCATGATATTTATCAAGTTTCACTCTTTTGCTAGTATTTGTGCCTAGATGAACATCAGCACTAGCTTTGGGCTTTTCTTAAGCACATATTAGTCACATATCCTTGGACAAGTTTATTCAGTCTCTTTCTTTACTTGTAAAGCAGCAGTAGTAGTATTATGGCTTTTGTGAGTGACACAGTATTTATACAAAGACTCATATGTGATAAGTAAAGTTGTCGCTGCTAACTTTAGAAGATGCAGAGAAGGGAACAGTACAAGTAAATCTACCGGTGATGCCAAACACTGGTAGCTGGTCCTGAGGGACAAAACAGAAGGACTCACAATTTCATTCTGCTACGTATGGATTTCTAGTTTTCCCAGCACCGCTTGTTGAAGAGGCCATCTTTTCTCCAGTGCATGTTAATGGCGCCTTTGTCTAGAGTGCACTAACTGTGTTCACGTGGGTTGGTCTCTGTGTCTCTGTTCTGCTGCGTTGGTCTCCATGTCTGCTCTGGTGCTAGTGCCTGCTATTTTTGTTTCCGCAGCTCTGTGGTGTGATCTAAGGCCTGGTGTTGTGATGCCTCTTGCTTTACTTTTCTCACTGAGGATTTCTTTGGCTATTCTGGGCTTCTTATTTTTCCAAACGTATTTCATGATTGCTTTTCTAGTTCTATGAAGAATGCTGTTGGAATTTTTTTAAAAAAGCTTTGCTTTTGTTTCTGTTTTTTTTGTGGTGCTATGGATCGAACCTGTGCCTCACACATGCTAGGCAAGTGCTCTGCCACTGAGCTACAACTATAGCCCCATGTCATTGGAATTTTAATAGGAATTGCATTAAATCCGTAGAGCACTTTTGATAGTATGGCCTTTATGATGATATTAACTCTGCCTATCCAAGATCATGGGAGATCTCCCATCTTCTAAGGTCTTTAATATTTTTTCTTTAGTGTTACATATTTTTCATTGTAGAGGTCTTTCACCTCTTTTGTTAGATTGATTCCCATGTTTTCTTTTTTGTTTTTAAGCCTATTGTGAATGGGATAGTTTTCCTAATTTCTCTTTCAGCTGATTCATCTTTGATGTATAGGAACACAGTTGAATTATGGGTGTTAGTTTTATATCCTGCTACTTTGCTGAATTCATTTACGAGTTCTAGAAGTTGTCTGGTGACGTTTTTTGAGTCCTCTGAATATAGGATCATGTCACAGCAAATAGGAATAGTTTGAGCTCTTATATGAACTTTGTATCCCTTTAACTTCTTTCTTTGGCCTAATTGCTCTGGCTAGTGTTTCAAGGACTGCGTTGAATAGAAGTCGTGCAAGAGGGCATCCCTGTCTTGTTCCTGATTTTAGAGGGAATGCTTTCATTTTTTCTCCATTTAAATGATGTTGGCCTGGGGTTCAGTGTACATTGTGAAGATAGAGCCTACAGAATGGGAGAAAATCTTTGCTGCCTGCACCTCAGATAGAGCATTAATCTCTAGGATATATAAAGAACTCTAAAACTTAATACCAAAAGACAAATAACCCAATCAATAAATGGGCAAAGGAACTAAACAGATACTTCACAGAAGTGAATACAAATGGTCAACAAATATTTGAAAAAATATTCAACATCTCTAGCAATTAGAGAAATGCAAATTAAAACTACACCGAGATTTCATCTCATTCCAATTAGAATGGAACAATCAAGAATACAAGTAACAATAAATGTTTGTGAGGATGTGGGGAAAAGGGTACATAATACATTGCTGGTAGAACTGCAAATTGGTGCAATCACTCTGGAAAACAGTATGGAAATTTCTCAAGAAAACTTGTTATGGGGCTGGGCGCAATGGCACACACCTGTAATCCCAGTGGCTCAGGAGGCTAAGGCAGGAAGATCATGAGTTCAAAGCCAGCCTCAGGAAAAGTGAGGCGCTAAGCAGCTCAGTGAGATCCTGTCTCTAAATAAAATACAAAATAGGACTGGGGATGTGGCTCAGTGGTCAAGTGCCCTGGAGTTCTATTGCTGGTATGTGCTCCCACTCTGCACCCCAAAACAATTCTTATAATGGAACCACCATTTGACCCAATTCTCTCACTTTAAGGTATATATCCAAAGGACTTAAAATCAGCATACTACAGTGACACAGCCACATCAATGTTTTTAGCAGCTCAGTTCACAATAGGTAAGCTATGAACCAACCTAGGTCCCTTCAGCAGGTTAATGGATAAAGAGAATATGATGTATACACAATGAAATATTAACTAGCCATAAAAAAGGATGACATTTGCTGGGAAATAGATGGATCTAGACACTATTTTGATAAGTGAAATAAGCTAATCCCTGAAAAACCAAAGGTTGAATATTCTGTCTATGGATGCTCACATAGAGTAAGCGTTGGGGAGGAAGAATAGAAGTTCAGTAGATGAGACCAAGGGGATTAAAGGGAAGGGAGGAGGGACAGGAATAAGAAAAACAGTGGAATGAATGTGACTTAACTTTCCTTTGTACACTATAAATTCACTACAAAGAATCTCCACATCATGTACAACCACAAGTCTGGCATCCCTAATTTTAATAAGATGTACCCATGTTTATACAAATATGTCATAATATACTGTACTGTCATGTATAACCAAGGAGAACACATTAAAAAAGAGATTCAATTTTTTTTTTAAAAAAAAAGGATTAATAAA